GTTTCAAATTTAACTTTTTTAGGTCGCCAAAACTATTTTTAAAATTGATAAGGAACTCTAGAACTCTTCGGGGTGCATTCAGAACTGAAAAAAATGATTTTTTAAGACATGAGGTGCCAACTTCACAGAGGTGGAGAAGTCATGGCTAATGTCGCCCTTATCATTTTTCTTTCTCACCACTCGATTCATTCGTTATTTGCGTAAAAAAAATCCGCGATATCTCCAAGATAATTTCACGTGGGCTCGCAATTCCACCTCATTCCAGACAGTCATTCCAATCACATTACGTTACATCGAGACACCATTTCTTCTCGCGCTTGCTCACGAGTGTGTATCGAAGGCGGTAATTTCAGAAGTAACTCTATCTCGTCGCGGCGGGAGACAGAAAAAAAAGGGAGACGAAAAGAATAGGCGAGAGAAACAGGAAGACGTCGCTGTGACGGAGCAGGAGAGATCTTAATAATGAGAAAACGAGGAAAAATTACTATTCGCGGCAGTGCGCTTCGGTCGGCCAGCGCATAATGATCCGGTGCATTCGCTCTCGCGTTGCACCAGTTGCGCCACAAACCTCCTTTCAGCTCGAGAGCGGAAGCGAAGGGTGAGCGCGAGCGGGGGCTCTCCTCCTTCGCTGCTATCACGGCGGTTCGAGTTGCATCCTTCGCGGTGAACGAGGGGGGAGGGGGAGAGAGAGAGAGAGGATGAGACGCGATGGAACCTGTCGTGACAAATTATCCTCGAAAACAACCGGCTGGAGGAGAAACAAAAGTGGCGACACGACGAATGATGAATTAACGCGGCTACCCCCTTTGCGCCTGTCCGCCACGTCTTCCACGTCTTTAATAATAGAGGCCGAAGGATGCACTCGACCGCAGAAGAATGCATTCGCGAGGAGGAGGAGGGGGGCTCTAACTCGCTCTATTATCGCGGGGGCACGTAAAAATTTGGTCTTCTCTCTAACTGACGTATTCCGTCTACTTTCTTTAAATGAAATTTGCCATTCCAGGTCAATTTATTTTCGACCTTACTTTGATCGATTGGACGCAAGATTGGACGGCAACTGGACATGATATATTTTCTATATGCAAACACCTCGCGGCTACTCCTTTTAAGCTTGATGTACAACCTTACGCGAATTCCCCACGCGTGAACATCGCGGTCCTTGGAGCTGGAGGGGCGATTCAATCGGCAGCGGGGGAATTTACGCGCACGCGATAGATCGTGAGATGTGCTCTAATATCGCCCGGAAGCGCAGTGTGTGCAATGAGAGGAGCATAAGTAATGAATTTAACGTGCCGCGGCCCCGTATCTCGTTTTTCCTCTTCTCTTTCCTGCCTCATCCCGTTTTCTCTTTCCCTTTCTCTCTATCGGCGATTTCATTTCGTCGAGTGCCGCGGTCGTATGTAAACAGAATTGATCGTACGAGAAGATGATCTCTTTCTCTCCCTCCTCCTCCTCCCTCTCTGCTGCAGCTCTTTCCATGTTCAATGAAAAACCCGCGACTGTCCGTCGCAAATAATTGCCCGCCACGTCTCCACGTACATCTCGGAAATTAAGACAAAAAGTCAATAAGCGTAATCTCAATACCGTCTTTCTGTGTTGATTGTAAGTAGAAATAAAGTGAATACGATTCAGCGAACTTCTTAAAAATTGACACACATAATACATTTGAAACGTCTCGAATTCTTTGAAAATGTTATTTGGCAAAGGAGAAAAATCCGAGAAACAGAGCGATTCTTAACCGAGAGGTTCTTGGCATTAAGGAAACGTTCGAGTTTCTTTCCAATTTGTGTCATTCTCGTGGAATTTCATTTTCAGATGACGCACGTCGATTTTCTTTTTTCATCCCCATGTTGTGTCGTGTCGTGTCGAGACCCTTTTAATCCGGCGCACCCTTTGATCCCCTCCCCCTTTCTCTCTCTCTTTCCCGCTCGATGAGAGATGTTTATCCCACGTTTTTTGGATAGTCAAATCGCGCGCGCACGAAATACAAAGGGATACCAGTCTTCTAATAAAATTCCGCATCCATGAAATGTAATCACGCGCGCTGCGCCTTTGATTAAAATTACGCTCGACGGTGCAATATGCAACGCGTAAGAGAATCTCAGGTTTTTCATATCCCTACAGAGGAGAGAGACTAAAATTGTGAATATTGTGCTCGTCTTATCACATATGTCCTTCGTGTCGCGTCAAAATTTAATATCGCTAACATAAATACTGTAACTGCTGCCTCCCTAAGTAAAGTACGTCCTGTCCCTCGTATCATTCTTGTCGACCGAATCAAGTCGCGGTTAATCGCACGGGGAAATAAGTCTCGGGACTTGTCTCCGCGCGCCTTTTTTTTCCTCTCTCTCTCTCCTCTACAAAAACAGTGACCGACCAAGAGAAAAAGATAAACGAGACACTACGAAAAGGGTGAACGAACATTTTTCAAGCCCCGGCAAAGGGACAAAGAGAAAGAGAGGGAGAGTGGCGGGGGAGGGGGAGGGGGCGAGTAATTCGGCAAGCCAGACAATGTAAAGACGATATAGGAGCGTCGAGATCCCGGGATGATCCCGAGGGATGAATAGAAACGATCCTGTTTATCCCAGTTCCCCCCCCCCCCACTGCTCCCTCCGAGTCCTCCGGTCCTCCCCCCCCCCCGCTCTCTCCCCTCTCCACCCGCCTAACCGTCGCCCGACGACGACGGAGGCAATATGCCGCTCGTGGATTTTTATAACCGCCGACTTTTCCTCCTCCTTCGCTATTCTCATCTCGTTCCTCACACCCAACCCCCATATCCCGTTCGCCACCCCGTCCCCCACCTCCTTCTCCCACCTGGACTATCTTGGAATCTCGACCTCAACGACTCCTGAGAGGTCGCCTGGAGAGACTGGACCCCGGCATCTCCGTCGTCCTGGGAGCTCTAACTCGGAACTTTCTCATTCCCCCGCACTCCCCCTACTTTCCTTTATAGCTTTTCGTACTCCGAGCAAGGATACCCCGCGTGTCTTAATCGAGCTTGCTAGTTATCCCCTTGTATCGCACGTCTTAACTACGTTTCTTTAACCCGGCGGTACAAATCGCCCCGTGTAACGAGTCACAACATAAATATATGTACACTT